TATAACTAATTGCCATCAGAATTAACACGGTGTTTAAAAAGCTAAAATAAACATTTGCATAATCAAATCATCATCGCAATCCACTGTTTTTAGTCCATGAGCTACATGATAGAGGGAATTGACGTGAATCACTCATGGGTTACCAACGATGTAATCAAGTACTCTCATATCCTTATTTAAATATAAAAATACATACAAGAAACGATGTTTCTTGGATAAACTTATTAACTTGCTATCATTTACAGGAAGGTTTTGATCTAATATGTTTTGGACAAATCCTGACATCTAAAAATCTTCGAATTTCGAGGACACCCAAACGTTCTTGCTATCGAGGACACATCCACTCATGAGTCTGCGGATGCATTATTTTTAAGAACCTTGCATCCCAAATAATTTTGCTGCACTTCATGTCTTGTTTGATCTGATGATCCATGCCTGTCAACTTGACGTGGTACAACTCTTCGGATCAAGTTACTATTATAATAATTATATTTATTTTCCAAAATTTGCTTGTCCATAATTACATTATAGTCGCCTGCGTGGCGCAGTGGTTAGAGCGTCTGCTCTAGAGTCACGAAGTAAGGAGTTGATCCTTACATCGCGTGTTCGAATCCCACTGTGGGACGTGGAGACTGGTCCTTCGGATGAGACCGTATAAACCGAGGTCCCATGTCGCAGTAGGTGCTGGCACGAAAAAGATCCCTCACTGCTCAATGGCCGTAAGTGCCGAGTATAGTACAAAATTTGCAGCTCTCCATATGAGTGAAAAATTCTCGAGAGGGACGTTAAACAACATACAAACAAACAAACAATTACATTATAAAATTTAGATGGTCATTCCTGTTAAATCTCATTTTACCCATAGCTGAATTTGGGATAAAAATTTCATTCTGTTTTAATTCGGTTAGATTAGTTAGATTCAATTTGAGATATATATGGACCATCCAGGGGTTCATTTGCAAACTGGAGCCAAGACATAATCCTACTAATGCATAAAGTTTTCTAAAAGGCAACTGAATCTACAGTACCAATTGACTAATTATTGACCAGATTTTTCTTGAGAAGACTTGGAATATATTTTCTCTTAAAAATTCCATGTAAAAAGAATATTCCTCTAATGCAATCTGATGAAAATCAGATTCTTTGATCCGCTCACATAGATCGCTACACAAGGATCTGAAGAAACCCCATTCAGGGTCATCTCCTGGTGACCTTTCTAATAAAAATATTCATCAAATTTTTGACCAATCAGAGAGATCGTACTCAAGCAACATTCAGGAAAATGAATGTAGAAGTGAAAGTAGCTGTGGAGAAGATCTTATCATTTCGTTCTTTTGACAGGCTAGGGAAACCAGGTCACAATTTTCCGTTCGTGTATCATCGGGGCTTCAACTTCTGTAACTGAATTCTGAGATACTTCTAAATTCTTGCATGCAAACGTTTGATTGGATAAATGAAAGGTCATCCGGAGATGACCCTGAATCGGGTTTCTATGAGAGTGGATCAAAGGATCTGATTTTAATCAGGTTGCCTCTTATGTGATCCCACTCAATAATTTCATCACTTGGGCCATATTTTGCATAAAATGGAATATATAATTCTTTAATTAGTATCCGCCTAGCTTGATCCTTGTTGAGATTCAAAAAGAATCATCGTCGAATTTAAGAAGAATTAGAAGAACATCATGAATAAAAAAAAATTTCTTACATTACTAACAGTGTCCTTGAAGGCCTCTAAAGAAGAAAGGAAAGCCTTGTTCTTCTTAAGCTGAATCTCTTTCTGTTTTTGTTGTTCTTCTTTTTTCTTTTGCCGCTGTTCCATCTACACACTCCTCCAACAAGAAATTTCACCTGATGACTTAAAGCAGTGTAGGTACATGCTAATGGAGTTTGTTCTCAACATTCCAGTGTTTTATGGAGAGCGTTATTCCACATCAAACACACACCTTCTTCTCCATTTGGTGGACAAAGTGGAGGACCAAGGCCCCCTATGGAGTAATTCTTGCTTTTACTTCGAAGATTTCAATGGGCAGCTAAGAAGACTATTTCATGGGACACAAAATATAGACTGTCAAATTGCTTTTGCTGTTTCTGTTCATCAAAGACTACCACAGATGTTAAATTCATTACAGTATGGTAGCAGCGAACTGGACTTAATGAGAAAACTTTTGGACAAGAATGTGGATACATCAAAAGAACAAATCCAAGATGGCGTATCTATGGTTGGTGGATATTACAGCAGACGACTTACAGAAGAGGAAGAACAGGCAATATGTTTAGTTTTCGGGGAATTCGAACGTATATCATTTTTTAAACGACTGTATATTTGCCACCAAATTGTGCAGAGCAGAGAGTACCGAAATACAACCAGAAGAAACAATAGTGTGGTAAAACTGGAAACGAATTCATTTGCTGAAGTCCTGGTTTTTGTGAAAGTCATGACCTGTGATCGATGTGAATTTTTTGCTTTAGTGAAAATGATGAACAATGTAGACAATGTTTTGGTCAGAAACAATTTGCTGAGTGCAAGCAGGAAACATATGGTCCCTGTTGCTCCACCTGCTGGACAAATCAGAGCAGTCCCTGTGACTTGGATATCTGATGTCTGTGTATGCATAGGCATCAACAATGACCTCTCCTTTGCTTCAGTGTTACCCAACCGTGTGGAAAAGGAGTAAGACTGACAGTGATAACACAAACACCTGATAGTGGTTCAAAATTTTCAAGATTTGTTTGAACTAGATGACAAACTTTTGAATTTGATAAACCTGTGTGTATTTAAAAGTCAATCATAATGACCATTGTAAAAAAATTTCTTTGAAATATATTTTCACTGAATGAGATGTATGTATGAAGAATTCTTTTTCTTAAAAGAAAGAAACATTTGATCATGTTGATATAGTGAATAGAATGTATTTATTAAATTTATTTTATTCATCAAATTTATTTGTGTTATTTTAATGAGGAAACTGCATTAATATGGCATCTACTTGTTGAAAAGCTGCTGAAGAGATATCTGGGAATTAGACAGTATAGCAACAATTAGCCCCTTTACGGTAACTGGTACTACTCTTTTGCAGGGCAAAATAATAAAGCTTGGCGAAGTTTTTGTTGACAGATAATCAAATGACATATAATTAACAATTACCTTTACGTGATATTTCACCAAACTATATCATTTTGCCCTGCACAAGAGAAGTAGCGCAGTAACCATGAAACAGTCTATTATGAGAATGGGAAACATAGATAAAGTCCACAGAAAAAGTCCATAGAATTTTTTTTGCATGGTTATTGATAGAAGAATAACTCCTACTTCTTTTCGCATGAAGTGATAAACCTTGTCTAATTTCTTTACCATAAAGTTGGGAAGCTCAAAATTTGCTTCACTGATTGCACAATTTAAAAGTCACTATAATATTTCATCTTTTAAAAATTAGTTTAATTTTTAACCCAGTCTATTACATGTATATAGTTTACCGGAATATTCCGGTAAACAAAGCTATGCGCTAGTGAGCTGAACCCGGAATATTCCTGGTAACAACAAAGATATTTTTAGACCTATATTTTCGTCATTCAATGGAAATTTTGTCTAATAAAAGCTCTGTCCTTATTTGGAATTACGGTTGACTGAAAAACAAAATCCATTAGGTAGATGAAATGTGATTGGCTGTGTAAATTTAGACAGATGTAAAGGTCATATTAATTCTGCGTGATTCGATTTTTCAAGAAAACATTTCTCAGTGTGTTATCAAACTTGTTTATATAGGCCAAACCTGCGGTAGAAAACCCCAATGGGTATTAATACTAAACGATGTTTTAGACATTGCTTACTAAGAAAATTATGCTCTTTCTGGATGTGATATTTGCCAGACGGCGATCGGCACACGCCAACTTTGGATTCACAGGTGTAGACTTAGATATATCCAAGTTAAAACGATCCTTTATATCTCTTTTTTTCAATTTAATCGACAGAAATAAAGATAATCATATCATGACTGACGAAAACAGTATTTTAAAGAAACCAAATTAAAGAGAAGTACGGCCAATGTTGACATTCACATCAAGGCTAAAAAAAAAAAAAAAACCAATGGCGGACATGAAGTATTTGGGATGTTACTATACACAAATGTTGAAAAATTGTTCCTAAATAGTCCCTATATAAAAAAAAAAAATATATAGGCATAATACTGTCAGCAAATCTTCTTGTAAATAATAACTTAGTTCCATGAACATGATGTAGGAATTTTTATGTTATATTCTTTTTACCTATCTGTATACACAAAGAATGAAAAATAACCATGAAAATATTGAAGTCCTTTGATGAATAATGTGTCTATGTTTTCTGAAAAAAACCTCAAACAAATATTTTTAAACCAAAGCACCTTCTACTATTTCCAATGCAGATAAAATATTGAAAACAACTGCAAAATTTCAAAGTCCAATTATAATACAAAATTAATACATATAATTTGAGGATTTGGATGAAAAAAATCTAAGTTAAAAAAAAAGTCAATTTTAATACAGTGAAAATAACTGAAAAAAATCAAAGTCCAATTATAATACAAAAATAATACATATAGATTTTAAGATTTGGATTAAAAAAAACTAGGTCTGAAAAAAATTCAGTTTTAATACAGTGATAAATGACTAAGTTAAATTTTGATACAAAAATAATATGGCTGAGGAAAACTAAGTCCAAATGAATACAAAAAAAAATAGACTGCAAAAAATCTAAGTTCAAATAAATACAAAAAAAATACCCTATGAAAAGTCAAAGTCAGAATTTAATATAAAAATAATATACCTACTTTTTTGTGATACAAAAATAATATATTTTTTCTGTATTATTTTAAAGAAGTACAAAAATGATTGTATTAAAAGTATATTAAAAATATACTTTAATGTATTATTTTTTGATATGGGTTATTTTTCTCATTCTGCCCTCCTTACAAGTAGGTGAATTTAAAACGGGACAAATTCGAAGAAGGCAGCATATACACAAATGTGTCTGATCAAATTTTAAAAGGGCAAAATTGTTTTCAAGGGTGAAAGAGTGAATATTTTAAAAATTAGAATGGGGTGAAAATATCCAATAATACAGGTTATATGTATTAAAACAGTACATATGCATTTCTCTTTTCTTTAAAATGAAAATAATTTGTTCTGTAAAAGGACAAATTTTGTTCTGATTTGTATCAAATAAATAAATATGTGCCAGATTTATTATTTTGCAGGCACCTAAGATACCATCAGTTGAGCGTCAAGCTGTGCAAAAATTCTATGTCATGTTACAGAATCTTTCTTAAATACAGGTATATGTCTGCTCATCTGGCAATCTTAGGACATCACTGGATGGTTTTGTTTAAAAAGATTACAGAGTTAACACACACTTCCAGCATGAAGACCAGCCAGTTGCCTCACCTGTCCGGACATTGTTAAAGGTAAATGGCCCTTTCAGAAAAGGATCTGACAATGCAAAGGCTTGCTAATCAATTAAAGATTTCTATTTACTAATAGGTAATTAATTTGAATTTCTGTAGCTTAAAAATTTAATGATGTGAATTAAAAGAAATATTTTAATCAAAATTATTTTTATTTCAGTACTTTGTGACAGTGAAAAGACATGGCTTTAAATGACTGCATCAGAGATCAATCCAGGTTATAAATCTGAGGAAAACAATAAAGTATCACTTCGAGCTACTTATATCACTGCCTTAATAAGTTGTCTGCATGTGTAACTAACAAAGGACAGTGACCAGTTGTACCTATGATATCAGAGGGCATCCTGAAAAACACCCATCACTAAGAATAGAAAACTTCAAATGACTTTTGTATCAATCCTTTTGAATTTCATCTGGCTTGGAATTTCAGTAGCCTTTACCATCCTTCAAGCATTTCATGAAGTACATGTACCAATTTGCAGGTATAAAATGTTTGAAACAGATTGCTTGTCCCAAATAAAAAAAATAATAAATTCTCTGCCAATTAATAGTGTCATAAGCAGTTGATTGATATCACAGTTCCACTGGCATAGTATTTGTAGTTGAATGGTGCCATTTTTAAGAAAACTTTTCACAAAAACCTGGAAAACATCAGATGGAAAGGAGCATCTACAAGAAAAACAGTGAACACTTTCTTGAATATTAACAATGATATGTCATGTCCATTTACATCCTTTATAAAAACTAATTAACCAAATCATAGAGAATTATGTACAAATTTGTCCTTTTGTGTATTCATAGTGTATTAAATTGATTTTACTAATTTATAAATATTTATGTTTTTCACAGTCATTAACATTTACAAATAGAAGTACATATAACATGAAAATATTGCATGTTTAGTAGGATAACGTGAAATTGTTATACCACAAAAACCATCGCTGACCTCACCTCGGTCAGCAATGGTTTTTAAGGGGTAAGAATTTCACATCACCCAAAATAAACAGGTAATATTTTTCTTGTTATAGAATGCATTTTAAAGAAAACAACAAGATGAAACGAACGTGCAAACATTCTGCACAGTTAACATTTTTTATTACTGTATATACTGTTACCCGTAGTCATGCATTTTCAACCATTGGGATGTAATGTCTGGCATGCAGTATGGTAATAGTACTTGTTAACAAATGTTTTTTAAACCAATCAAATTTGACTATTTAACATGAAAGTGTATAACAAATTTATCTAGCATAATGGTGTTGTAAGTAACCATGGAATGTGAGCTTGTGTGAACTTGATCCTGAATTATTAAGTTTTGAATACTGTAATAAAGAATTGTGCAGCCTAAACTTTAACTTGTACCTTATTTAAATGGAGTTCCGTCATTAACAACTTGGAAGTTGGAAGTTGTCACACTCTCCATGAGTATAATAACTAGGGGATCTGCTTCATTTGCAGATACATGGAAAACACATTCACTCAAAGCGCTGTCCCTTTTTCAGTACCTTGTGCAGCCCTGTAATATGTTATGACAAATGGAGAAAAATGCCTATTTCAAGAAAAAAAAGTCTGTCTCATAATTGTAGAAGTATTGGAAAGGGGGGGGGGGTCATGAAACTTGGCAGTTAATACAGTTTGTATGTGTAAATGAAAAAAATGCCTTCTTCTTTGTAGAATAAAAAATAATTATTTTTTGAGTGTATGTGACCATTTTTATTTCTGAATAGACAGGGTAGCCTACAGAATGACCAATTTTGAGCTGACCATTTTTATTTATTGTAGTAATTAAATTAAAAAAAAATGTGTTTTCTACAAAGATCATATGTTATAGACGTGGTATTCAACTTTGTATTCCCATGGTCGATGCATTTGGGTACATCTATTTTTTTTATTTGCTTTCAATGACATCGCATTCAATATCCCAATCTCATGTATACCTGTCCAATACTCCAAATTATACCATTGTAAGCTAAATCAATGCTTTAAATTTATGAAACCAATCTGTAGATAAGCGTACCTTTTGAATACAGACGATTTTAGAATAAAAACGATTTAATTTTCCCTTTATGCTTAAGTATGTTGGCTAATCTTGGCCCCCTCGGAATAGCTTGTGTTTACGTTATGTAATGAAAAAATAAAGCAATTAAACGCTATTTACCTGCATCTATCAATCCATTTTCTCCTCTTCTTTGCAACAATCGGGAATCAAAACAAACTACAAGTTCAATAATTCCACTGCCATGCTTACAACTTAAGTAATCCATTGTCTCCAAGAACGCTCAGGTACCCGGGAGTTATAAAACGAAAGTGAAAGTCAACGAGACTTACAGACCCTTTGAATTTTCCTATAGTATACATGATAGATAAGTGTAATAAATATAATTTGTGAGCAAAACAAACTACAAATTCTACTGGGCTGCTTAAAACTAAATGCGAAGCTGTAATCCATTGTCTGCAAGAATGGTAAGTTATAAAACGAAAGTGAAAGTAAATGAGAATTAAAGGCTATAGTCTTGGGAGCAGTTGTTATTTCATAAATAATTTGAATAGGTGATATCACCTATTGGAATAAGTGATATCACCTATTCAAAATGATTAAGTGATATCACCTATTCGAATAAGTGATATCACCTATTCGAATAGGTGATATCACCTATTTGATTTGAATAGGTGATATCACCTATTCGAATAAGTGATATCACCTATTCAAAAGGAATAAGTGATATCACCTATTCGAATAAGTGATACCACCTATTCGAATAGGTGATATCACCTATTCGAATAGGTGATATCACTCATTCAAATTGAATAGGTGATATCACCTATTCGAATAGGTGATATCACTTATTCGAATAGGTGATATCACCTATTCGAATAGGTGATATCACCTATTCAGAAGCTGAATAGGTGATATCACTTATTCGAATAGGTGATATCACCAATTGAATAGGTGATATCACCTATTCGAATAGGTGATATCACTTTTTGGCAGTAAATACCAAAACGGCACCTCATACATGTGCAATGCAGCGTTGTCAAGGACTTAGTCCTGAGACTAAGCGTATTGTTTACGAATTACGACTAGTCTTACGCTACTTCGTGAAACGCGAATTACGCCCGACTACATTTTGGCATAAGCCACGGAAGTACACCCAAGTTAGGCCTTAAATTTACGACTTTTGATGAAACGGGCACCAGGTACTGGGATCCGTTTTATTTAAGACCTTAAAACTAAAAATAAAAGCTTTAGGTGATTGTAAAATTTAACATAATTAATGGTTCTATTAGTAATTGCGTGCATAAATTTAAAAAAAAATCATTTTCAAATTATATTGTAATGTACTCATTCTGAAAAGAAAATTATTTGCAAAATTTGATTTTTGGTCTTGGTTGTAAGTTCTTTTGTTAAACAGACCCTGATTAATTATAAATAAACAAATCTAATCATCAATCAATCAATTTATTATTCATTCATTCATTCATTCATTCACAATCTGTTTACAAGCTATGGATCATCTTGAAGGCGTAATCACAAAAGATATCAAAGTACTGAATGTACTGATGGGAGTTGATTTTACAAACGGTTTCAATAAAATTCAAATTGTGTAACCATGTTCACAACTTTTCAAATTATGTACAACATTAATGCTTCACAAGTCGGTATTTGAGAAGCAAATGACTAAGAGGATGTCACGATTCAACAGAGTTAAAGAGGTAAGGTTTGTTCTAATTTGTCGATAACTTTGGAATGATATGCGAAAACGTGTCATATTTCTCCGCTTCTGCATTTTTTCAGTAATTTCAGGTATTTTTCCTGACCAAAAGTTCGTTTAAAAGTGTTGAAGCAACTTAACTTTTTTTTCAGAATTTGATACAAGTTGTGAATTTCATTTCGTTATACAATATTTAACAAACAAATTTTAAGTGTACGTTTGAATTTACATATAGAGAATAGTGTACGTTTTGCTAATTTATAATTTGCATAGTGGCCATATTGTTTTGAATATGGCAAATTTCTGTTCAATGCATTATATATGAATATAAAAACATAGATTAAAAAATAAAGAAAATGGAATAATTTCTTCCTCATTTGGTTCTTTATTTAAATGTGTCCTGGATTGGAATGCGCTTTTTTAAACAAAATGACAGAAAATTGATGGTTTGAAAATATAAAGCGAAGCTTCATTACAATGATAGAGAAAAATGTGGTAAAAGAGCTTGGAAGGTCTTTATCCAGTAAATTTAAAAAGATTTACCGTTTTCTGACAGATTTCGTCCTCATATTATGAAACTTGTACTTTCATGCAGCTTCTAAGATAATAATTTTCTTTTTGAAATTAAAAATCACATGGAATTCAGAAAAGTTAAACGACACTCTCTGTGGGAAAAATGCTGTTGTTTTGCCTGGGGAAATACTAGTATAAAACTTCATTATTGACATAACATAGTGAGATATCAGGAATAAAGTGGACAGCATATGGAGCTATACAAAGAAGGAAATCAAGATTTTTTCAAATAGTGACTTGAATTCACAGTATGCTACTTGTAAAAGTAGAAAAGGCTGATCTAGATTCTTAAGCCCATATCAGTAATTTATCATTGATAGTATAACGTCAAAATATAGGGGAAATCTACCCATTTCAGATAGTACAGCAAAATAAGTTGAAATTTATACACACCAAGTATTGATTTACATTTCAGATAAGTGTGTCACAGATTAAGTTGGAGTATATGCTGTCAATAGTTCAACTAGGAATGCTATTTATCAAGTAATTGGGTTAAAATCCAAAAATTTAAGATGCATACATTAAAATGCTCGGTTTAATATGCTCTGAAGATGTGAATAATGTTTTTTTAATGTCTGGATTCAGTGGAGTTATTTTTTTTCTCAATTTTAAAGAAATGATTTTTATGCTTTTTGATAAAGTGCTTCTGAGCAAAGGAGAAAGACCCCGAGGAATACAATGTTACAGCTAGATATTTACATGTATTCAGACACATTATATGATGCGACAGTGTATTTAAAAATAGACTTCGTTTGTTTATGAAAAAATTAAGCCTTATTGCCTGGAATAATTAATTTTTAAATGTATCATTTCATATTTTTGGGACTGATTTTGCTAAAATCTAATTAAGATTGCAGCGAGATAAAATGTCATTACAAGTATATTTAAACCACAAAGCAACATATTTGGTCTTTGTTCCCAAAATGTGTTAGTAACAGTCCAAATTACACGCAAAAAAATACTCAATGTGCCCCCAATTTGCAAAAATCTGGATCCACTCCGAATCCTGCTATTTCAACATGAACTAATTATCGAGACAATTACATATACAAACATTCCTGAGAAAAACAAACAAACATAGGTAATCAAAGATTACAGAGCTCACCTCAACGAATGTTGTCTTTAAGTAAGGCAAAGTCCCACACTAAACTAATAATCTAGGAGTGTGCATCCCTAGATGCAACATTTATGCAATTTTGGTCTGATAGGACTTGCAGTTACTTGGGAATAGACTTATCTGAAAACTTAAAACTAGTCACTCATCCATAAAATGTAAGTCAAATCCAGCATCCGAAGCAAGTTTTGAGATTGTTCATCCCTTGATGCATCATCCATGCAAGTTTGGTTCAGATAGGCCTTATAGTTACTTGGAAATGAGATCTGCTGCAAAAACTTTAATCTGGTCACTCATCCGGAAAATGTAGGTCAGATCCAGCATCCGAAGCAAGTCCAGTAGTGTGAATCCTTAAATGTATCATCCATGCAAGTTTGGTCAATATAGGGTTTATAGTTACTTGGAAATGACATCTACTCCAAAAACCTTAACCTAGTCACTCATCCGGAAAATGTAGGTCAGATCAAGCATCCGAAGCAAGTCCAGTAGTGTGCATCCTTAGATGTATCACCCATGCAAGTTTGGTCAATATAGGGCTTATAGTTACTTGGAAATGAGATCTACTCCAAAAACCTTAACTAGTCACTCATCCGGAAAATGTAGGTCAGATCCAGCATCCGAAGCAAGTTCAGTAGTGTGCATCCTTAGATGTATCATCCATGCAAGTTTGGTCAATATAGGGCTTATAGTTACTTGGAAATGAGACCTGCTCCAAAAACTTTAACCTGCTCCAAAAACATTAACCTGGTCATTCTTTAGCTGAAATTGCAGCATCTGAAACCTTGACTGGTACGATGAAACACGCTAGAAGCATCATCCATGCATCTCTGACTAATGTATCCATAGAAGTACTTGAAAAGAAAACTGCTTCAAAAACCTTAACCTGGGACGCCGACGCCGAGGGTATTACATTAGCTCCCCCAACTTCGTTGCGGTGAGCTAAAAAAAATAAACGCAATCAGCAAGCTCCATAAATAACGCATCTAGAAAATTAAATGCTGTGTATTAGTGTGTATATACTATCATTAATTATCATTCTGGGCAGAAAAGTAAAAGGCTGCTTATTCAGAAGTTAAGTTTGTCCATGCAGTAGGTCACTTTTTCTGCAGTGGTGAGCTCTGATCAGTGGCTTTAGAACTTTACACATACATTGTATAAGAGATAAACGCCCGCTGTGATAATCAGTCACGCGCATACAACAGTTAAAATTAGACGTTGCATTTACATCAATATTGTCTGTATCAATTTGAAATACTTTTCTGTATACCATCATGCATTTAAAAATATTTCTCTGTATACCATCATGCATTTAAAAATATATCTCATTATCCGTTTTTATTGTTCCTATGCAAGTTTGTCGAACGAAAGCTTCCAGGGTTTATTTTGCCAGTGCAATATGAACTATTCATTAGCAGTTCTCTGTGCACACTGTGGTCTGTTTTGGTTTTCTCGAGATATTTTTAAAATATCTACGTCAGCGAGAGTATTTATCAGCCAATCAGCGCAGCCAGCAAAGGACTCTTTTCATTACTGATCACATGTCTTCATATTGCGTTTATCAGAGGCTGAACCAGATTACTGAAACCTCCACACTGTGTACGTGGTCGAGTGTGGGAAAAATTACAACTGCAAATACTATTACTGAGAGTTAGTCGTTGCATCATTTAAAATTCAAATGTTTTCAATGTATTGAAATTGAAAAAAAATATTTTTCTTGATAAATAATGTGTTCAGAATGTATTTCATCAAATTTTTCAATCATTTTCAAGTACTATTTCTTGTCAGCGGCGATAATTTTCCATTGATGATTTTCGCTCAGAGAAGTGATGAGGTAAAAACACTGTTTGGTCTGGGTAAGTGCATGGAGAGTTGATAAAATCAACTCCCAAAAATATCAGTCTCCTATTTCAGCTCCACCTCATCGTGGAGATCAAGATGTGAACAAACTTGAATCTTCAATACCTGAGGACGCTTCGATATTAATATTTTTAATCACAGATTACACCAACTCTTCTTCAGCAGATTTTTAATTGCCACAAAATCCTGTCTTATTTTTTATCACCTCCCCTTTACAATAGGACGTGGCTCTTCAACTGAACTTGAATTACATGCAGACAGACGATATGACAGACACAGATGCCAGATAAAATATGACCAGAAAAACTCATCTAAAGCTCAACACGAATTATTAAAGGAAGAAGGGTTATATTTGTCCGCCATATTTGTCCTCTGTTATATGTACTCCACCAGCCCCTATATAAAACTCAGCTTTCATCACAATTCAATGTATTTAGCTTCACAGTAATTACCTGAACAGACGTCCCTTTCATTGTCATTATGCAGGGGATGCTCTCTCCTCCATGGCGCCCAATCCCGCCTCTGATGTTTTTGGATGTCCATGTTTGCTTTGCTCCCGATTTGTATTGTTTAAATTGACTTTGAGCTTGAAAACTGTTCATTATCTCCATATTTCATGGTAGACGGGCTATAAAGTGAAAATTTTACAGATGGACGGAAGGACGTACAGACAGACGTAGTGACTAGTGTTAAGAAAAGTTCACTAAATTACAGTTCAGCTGAGCTAACAATAAATTCAAATCTGTCTTCTACAGCTTTATTAGTAAAAGTTCAATTCAAAAATAGAACAACAAACTAAATTATACAAATGGCTGTAAAAATAAATTTACCCATAAATGAAGATCGGAATAAACAAAAATAACTAATTTAATTCTGATTCACTTGGTCAGAAATAAATTTTAAAAAATGTGCATGACAATATTACAGCTTTAAAATAACTCATGTATTCAATACACTAACAATATTCTCACATGTTTTGAGATGCATGTTTAATTTCTAATGGGGAAGGATGTTTGTCCAAGAATATTTAAGTTACTCATACATATTCAAAAACCTGATTTATAATACCCTCACATGCTTGAAGATGCATGTCTACGAATGGGGAAGGTTGTTTGTCCATGTACTTTTAAATTACCCATAGTTGTTCAACACTCTAAAAATAATTCCACATGCTTATAGATGCATATCTCTATAAAAATGGAACTAGTTTGTCCTTGTACATTAAAGTTACTCCTAAATATTCAACACTCTAATTAAAAATATTCCCATATGCTTGAAGATGCATGTCCTTAAATGTAGAAGTTTGTTTGGCCATATACTATAAAGTTTTTCATTAAAACTCTCCCACATGCTTTGAAAATTATTTCTATAAATATGGAACTTTGTTTTTCCTTGCACATTAAAGTTACTCATAAATATTCAACACACTAATTTAGGAATGACTCTAATTCTTGGCCAAATTATTCGAGTATAACCTGGTTTGGGTCAGTTTACGCTTTATAATCCGTGGATTATAAAACAGAGTAAACTGACCCAAACCAGGTTATACTCGAATAATTTGGTCAAGAATTAGTCATTCCTTATAATTTAATTTTAAAATCATTAAATAACTAAGGGTGTAAAATTTCGTTGCTTTTTATTAGTTCAAATTTGCCGCTCAATAATACAACCGTAGTAATGGAAGTAATGGAAGTGATGGGAAGCGAGGGGAGGTAAAAACTGATGCATAGGCCTAGCGGCAGCCTTGTTGTTTGTTTACATGTAGTAAGATCGAATTATTGTTAAGTTAAAGGTACATTTATTAAATCTGGAATTTTCCATGAATCCCGAGGACTGGAAATGTATTGTATGGATACAGATGATTAAGCTGGTTGTCGGGGGGGGGGGGGGGGGGGTGTCCCATACCAAACCAGGTTATACAGAAATAATTTGTGTTTCTTTTTGGATATTAACCAATCAGAGGCTAGAATACAAACAAAATTAAGTTATTTAAAAATATTGGATATGCTTGGAGATACATGTGTATGAATGCGGGAGGTTGCCTGTCCATGTACCTTTAAGTATCTCAAAGATATACAACACCAATTAAAATATTTCCACATGCATAGTGATACAGCTTCCTGTGAATGCGGGACGTTGTTTGCCCATTTACTTTAAAGTTATTCATACATATTTTAGACCCTACTTTAAAATATCACAATAATATTGGACGCTGTTTGTAAGTGTACTTTAAAGTGTATCAAACATTTCATTATTAATGAAAAATATTCCTAAATGCTTACAGATACATCTGTTTTTGAAAGTAGGATGTTGATTGTCCATATACTTGCTTACAGATACATCAGTCTTTGAAAGTTGGATGTTATTTGTCCATATACTTTAAACTCGATACATTTTTATTATACATATTCAAACACTTACAATTTTCCTGCTTTAAAATACTAACAATAAAATTAAAAATATTCCCATTTCCATAGGCAATTTGCTGACTGTATGCCTTTAAAATTCACATTTATGTAGTTCATCGCTTGTAAGCATCTGTATGTGTCCCTGCAAGTAACAAAAATCGGTTAATTGCCTTTCCACACACATTACATTGCTAAGGTCTATCGTATGTTTTTCGGGTCGTCATGTGTTTCTTTAAGTTATATAACCTGTTGAATTCCCTTCAACATACATTACATTTGTAAGGTTTTTTCCACTGTATGTGTCCTCATGTGTCTCTGTAGGTTGTCTGATCGGTTAAAACCCCTTTCACACACCCTACATTTATAAGGTTTATCACATGTATGCATCCACTTGTGAGTCTTTAAGTTTCTGAATTTGTTGAATGTCCTTCCACACACATCACAGCTATAGGGCTTATCACCTGTATGTGTTCCAATGTGTTGTCTTAAAATACCATGATCAGAAAATTCCTTCCCACATACATTACACTTAAAAGATTTCTCACCTGTGTGTGTCTTTATGTGTCTCTGCAAGTTGTCTAATCGGCTAAATGCCTTTTCACACACCCTACATTTATAAGGTTTATCACCTGTATGTATCCTCATGTGAGTTTTTAAGTTTTTCTTGTCGTTGAATGCCCTTTCACACACATCACATCTATAGGGCTTATCACCGGTATGTATCCTCATGTGTCTCTTTAAATAACCACAATCAGAGAATTCCTTCCCACATACATCACATTTAAAAGGTTTCTCACCAGTATGATTTCTTATGTGTGTCTGTAAGTGATTTAATCGATTGAATGCCTTCCCACAAACATCACATTCATAAGGCTTTTGAACGGAATGTATCCTCTTGTGACTCTGTAAGGTACACGATCGATTAAACTTCTTTCCACATACATCACATTTATAAGGTTTTTCACCTGTATGTGTTCTAATGTGTCTTTGTAAGTCTCGTAATTGGATGAATGCCTTTCCACAAACACCACACTTATTAGGTTTATCACCCGTGTGAATCTTTGTATGTATCCTTAGTCTACATAAATAATTGAATGATTTTCCACATATATCACATTCATAAGGTTTATCATCTATATGTGTTCTTATGTGATCTTGTAAGTTACACAATCGATTGAATGCTTTTCCACACACAAAACATTTATGAGCTTTAACACCTGTATGTATCCTCATATGTGTCTCTAAGGTATACAATCGGTTGAAAGCCTTCCCACATACTTCACATCTATAAGGCTTATCACCTGTGTGTGTCCCCATGTGTTGCTTCAAATAACGACAGTGAATGAAAGCCTTCCCACATACATCACATCTATAAGGCTTTTCACCCGTATGCTTCCTTAAGTGCGTCTTGAAGTAATCTGATCGATTGAATGTCTTACCACAAACATCACATATAAATAAAGCTTTTTGACCTGTATGTGTTCCCTTGTGTCTCTGCAAGTTACGTGACTGGTTAAAAGTCTTTCCACACACATCACATTCATAAGGTTTTTCATCAGTATGTGTTATTTGGTGTCTCTGAAAATCTCTTGATTGCTTGAATGCCTTTCCACAAATATCACACTGATGAGGTTTATCACCTGTGCGTGTCATATTGTGCGTCTTTAATAAACCTAAGTCAGTGAATTTTTTCCCACTCATATCAAATTGATACCTTTTTTCTTCCCTTTCTATATGTGTCCTTGGGTTTCTCTGCAAATATTTTGACTGATTTGAAGTCTTACTACAAAAATTATCTTTACAAGGTTTATATCCAGTGTTTGTCCTAATTTGTATATTAAAACCTCCTGATTGGTTGAATGCCTCCCCACAAACATTAAGTTTATCACTTGTGCTCATTTTTGGGTGTTTCTGACAATCATCACTAGGTTTTTTATCATCATGTGTCATCTGGTATCCATTTTCACTTAATGTTTTTTCACACTTATCACATTTATGAGGTGTTTCACTTGCATTCTTTTTCTTATGTCTCAGTACATACCATAACTTATTAATTACCTTTCCACATATGTCACATTTATCTTGAGCTTCTCCAAGATATCTTCTATTGGGTCTACTTAAATTGCTTGACCTCTTGCAGGCCTCATCATGCTCATCATGCTTGGAACTTTTGACACCTCTAAGTGACATTGGGTGTTTCCGAAAATCAGAACGCTGAGAAGGAAATTTTTTGCAAACACTATTTTTATGTGGGTTTTCATCTGTGTGTCTTATCAAATGTCGCTTTAAATCTGACTTTTCTCGGAACATTTTCTGACATACATCACATTTATAACATTTTTCACCAGTATGTGTTTTCATATGTCTTTGTAAATGGCTTGATACTAACTTCCCACATACAACACATTTATACATTTTATAATTGCTTGGGTTTTCACCTGTGTGTGTTCTCAAATGTATCAGTAAATCTGATTTTTCTCGGAACTTTCCCTGACAAATATCACATTTAAAACGATTCTCACGGGTATGTATCTTCATGTGTCTCTGTAATTTTCCCGATAAAAACTTCCCACACACACCACATTTATAGGGTTTATCACAGTTGTGTATCTTCATATGTTCGCGTAAGTCTCCCGATTTGTAGAATACCTTCCCACAAACATTACATTTATATTGTTTATCACCTGTATGTGTCTTCATGTGTCTATTTAAACCTGATCTTTCACAATAAGCCTTCTGACACAAGCCACATTTATAAGGTTTACCATCTATATGTATCCTCCTCGCGTGGGTCTGTAATGTACTTGATTGGTCAAAAGTTTTTCTGCAGATGTTGCATTGATAGGTGTGTCTTTCTAAATCCTTTGTTTGAGTTTCATTAGGAATATAATTGTTTAGCTTTTCAGTATCACTCTGCATGTGTGGAAAGGATGAAGAACTTTTCTTTTCCCCCTGTAAAATTCATCAAAATGTAATATCAAGGTACTTGTTTCACAAGAGGACTAAAGGCTTAGAATTGCTCCTCTGATAAATGGTCAAACCCTATCACTTTTATTTTAAGCCTCTTAGTACATGTATCCTACATATTTAGATAAAGCAAGGAAATTCCAAAACCTATTTTTTGGTAAACACAATCTGACATACTTAGATGCATCAACTGATACAGTGTGATGGTTTTAAGGCCTTATTATCTTAAATAATTTAGATAAATTTAAGCTTAAATAATTCAGATTTAGTCATAAAATTCCAAATGTAGGACACATTGACCTATTCTTTGGATGACACAATATAAATACCCAAATGACTAAACTTAAAATCTAATATGATGTTAAGTCTCCTTTTATTTAACAATGTACATATTAAGATAAAAGTGTGAAATTCCATAAATAGGTCACATTGACCTAGTTTTTGGCTGAAATATTCCAAGTTCCCAAGAAGCATAAATAAACAAGATGTGTTTGTGAAACACTGATGCCCCCGTATGGCAACTTATAGCAAAGATTAAACTTTCTCAAATGCAAATCAAATATGTTGGTTCTCAAAGTAAGGTCTTGTCTTGAGGAATATACCTGTGAAATATGAGCAACCATTGAATAGATATGGAAAAGGTTAAAGTTTTTCGAAAGTAAGTCAAACATCAAGGTCAAGGCCAAATGGTAAAAAATAATGGTGCCTAAGGAAAGGACTTCTCACAAGAAATATACTGGTGAAATATGAAAGCTGAAGCACCAATCATTCAAAAGTTATTACCAAGGCTTAAGTTTTCCTAAAGTATGTCAAACTCCAAGGTTAAGGTAAATGGAATACAATCTTTGGTATCCAAAGGAAGGTCTTGTCACAAGGATTACATATGTGAAGTATGAAAGTCCTAGCACCAACGGTTCACAAGTTCTGGCCAAGGTTAAAGTTTTTCAAAAGTAGGTCAAACTCCAAGGTCAAGGTCAAAGGGTCAAAGTTGTTGGTATCCAAAGGAAGGACTTGTCACAAGGATTACATATGTGAAGTATGAAAGCCCTAGCACCAACTGTTCAAAAGTTATGGCCAAGGTTAAAGTTTTTCAAAAGTAGGTCAATCTCCAAGGTCAAGGTCAAAGGGTCAAAGTTGTTGGTATCCAAAGGAAGGACTTGTCAGAAGGATTACACAAGTGAAGTATGAAAGCCCTAGCACCAACCGTTCAAAAGTTATGGCCAAGGTTTGGAAATTTTTTTTGTAAAACTGGGTCAATCTCCAAGGTCAAGGTCAAAAGGTCAAATATAATGGTACCCAAAGAAAGGTCTTGTCACAAGGAATATACATGTGAAATATGAAAGCTATAGCTTCAACCAATCAAAAGTTATGAGCAATGTTAAAGTTTTTGCGGACAAACAGACAGCTAGACAGACGGACAGACAGGGCAAAAACTATATACCCTCGAATCTTCGATATGGGGGCATAAAAAGGCTTAATGATTCTAAGCCTTATATCATTTGAAATATTTAAATATGAACTGTATATACATGAAATTCCAAAAGCAGGTCACCATGACATACTTTCTGGTTAACATACTCTGAGAACCTATGATGCATCAACTGACAAAGTTTGATTATCACTTGAAATATTTTTAAAAAGCCTTGAATTCCAAAAGTAGGTCACCAGAACCTACTTTAACATTTACATACTCCTACGACCCAAGATCATCATCTGAGCAGTTTGATGATTCTAAATCAATCAGTATCTGAAATATTTGAATAAAGCCATGAAATCACAAAAGTTGGTAATGTCAACCTACTTTTTGGTAGACACACTCCCAGGACTTAATGGCTGAAATACTCTGAGGCCTAAGGATGCATCAGTTGATAAAGTTGATCATACTAAGCTTCAAGATTTCCAAAAAAAAAAATTCTCTAACACAACTTGAAAATAAACATTGCAAGATTCATAAAGTAGGCCACTGTGACCTACTTTTCATAAATATGTTTCATGGCCCCAAGATGTATCAGCTTACAAAATTTGATGATTCTAAACCTTTTCATATCAGAAATAATGAATTTAAATACTTTGGAAATGGTTAGCCATAAAATTCAGAAAGCAGTTCATAGTGACCTAGTTTTTAGTTGACATACTATATGGCTCTATGATGCATAGAGTGACAAATTTTGATGATCATAGGTTTCAAAATGTCCAATATATGGATCTAAATCAAAAGATAATGAATACCTGCAAAATTCAGAAAGAAGTTCTTCGTTACCTACTTTGATTGAACATGACACGAGGTCCTAAGATGCATCAACTGATATGATTTGATGATCCTAGTCCTTATAATGGGCAAAATATCAAAGTTTTTTACAAAACATAATTTTAGGTTAATTTTGAAGTGACTTTGAGACCTTGCCCCAGTATGATGCCTTGAAAAATTTTTAATTTACAGCATATCCTCATCCATATGTGTAAGTTTGGGGATAATGTGGTCATTGAGAAGATTTTTTAGCACCACTACCTCTTCTTTAATTTCCTTAATTATCTCCCCTTGTTCAAGGGGCACATTCCTATTTTTAGTATAAAGGAGAGCCCTTTGGCCATGGATACTTTATGATGAATATGATAAAAATTGGGCCATGGATACTCTATGATGAATATGACAAAAATTGGCTAAGGGGTTCTTGATACATGTATATAATCCATATTCTAAAAAAATTGACACATAACACAGTAATAGCCATCGCATTATCTCTGAGAGCTTTTGGATCAGAAGAGCTAACGATTTTATTTTATGCACACATGTCAGTCAAAAAACATTAATGGAGAACTATTTTCTTTTTTTTATTTTCAGGTGTTTGTTTGTTTTGCTTGTTCATTCATTGAGAGGCCAACACTTGCTGGTGGAGGGCTGCAAATTTAGACTTGTACTCAGCAATTACGCCTTAAGACAGTGAGGGATCTTTTTCATGCCAGCACTCACTGCAACACAGGACCTTCATATGAATCCAAAGGACTGGTCTCCACATCACACAGTGGATTCGAACTCATGAGATAAAGATCAACTCCTTACTTCATTTTACGTCAATAACCTGAGATGTCTATAATGAAATTGGAAACATGGCTCTTTTGTTCTTAAGATTTTAAAAAGGTTTTTCCTTCATAATTCTGTGTAAAATGTTGATATAAATTTTGGCCCCAACCTTACTCCATGATTTGAACCATTTCAGATCTTCATTTGGTATTTACCCAACCTTGACAGGTTTAACTCTGCCACAAAAGCTAAGTTAAGAATTTCAAGTACTAGCCCAAGGGCTAGTGGCAGCAATAAAATCACTAGCTCGAATTAAAAAGATACTAGGGCAAAAGTAGGGGGAAGAAAGGATCAGCTAATATTGAAAGAAAAATGGTTTATTGTTGAAAAAAAATCAGAGTCTTGAGGTCATTCCTTTTAAAATTAAAGTTTAATTCTCACTAGAAAAATTAAGTCATATACATGTATAAATCAACCAAGGAACACATGTGTCACTTGCTTTGTAGCTTTGTTAAAAGTGTAAATAAATTAGAGAGTGGTCAGCTTTTTATTTACTATAAGCATGATAGACTGATAGTTCATGCATTTGCCTGTTATTACTATGTGCTTCCAACAATCCTCCAAAGAGATTTCAGTCTGTCTTTACTGCAATTGTCAGTCTACACGATCCATTGTGGAATACAGATCCTTACATATTTTTATGGTATTTAAATATAAATGTGTGTGGCAACTGTATATCATACAGTTTCAAAGAACTTTTTCATGAGCTAAATGTAATAATAACAATAATAATTCAAAAGAGATTTCAGTCTGTCTTTATTTTAATCCTCAGTCTATATATGTTCCATTGTGGAACACCAATCCTGATGTATTTTCATAGTATGTCTTGTAACTGAAAATCAAACGGTTTCAAAGTACACTATCATGAGCTCATATACATGTATAAATGCTAATTATCTAAACCCTGCCTCTCATAATTCAAAAATCAGAAGTTTAGGGACCCTCTCTACACTAAACAATAATGTTTTTTGGAAACCGAGAAAATTATATTGTATAAAGGTGTAAATATTGAGCTTATTCATATCATTTTCAAAAAATAGGGTGCCTGGCTTTTACCTCCAGGAAAAATGTTCAAAGTAAGCAAAGTTTTGATGAACATGATGAACACAAATCACTGTTGTTTACCTAAGTGGGGAAAAAGCATGCAGACGAGGTGCTCAATTAATTATGTTCCCCAAACGAAGTTTGGGAACATATTGTTTTTACTCTGTTTCTTATTATTATTATTATTATTATTTTTCTTCCTGGGTACTTTTTTGTCCGTGAGTGATCTCCGAAACTACACATCCGATTGAGGTGAAACCTTTTTAGGGTTAATAGGAATGTTATGTAGATTTGCGGAACGAAGGTCATTTTGCGCGCACGTGCATGCACGTGCGTGCGCGTGCAATGAGTAAAATGACCAAAATACTTGATATAGCCATAACTTTCAAATCTTTTAATGAAATACTTTGATACTCAGGATATAAGAATATATTAATAGTGTAGACAAGATGACATGGTCAGAATGCACATGCATGCACCTGCGCGCATGCGCATTGATTGAAATAGTCAATACAATTGAAATAGACTTAACTTGTACATTTTTTGATGAATTGCTTTGAAACTTAGAATATAAGTATATATAAGAAGTGTAGACAAGAAGACTTGATCAGCGCACACATGCATGCACATACATGCACGTGCGTGCGCGTGCAATGAGCAAAATGACCAATATACTTGATATAGCCAAAACTTTCATATCTTTTGATGAAATACTTTGATACTCAGAATATAAGGATATATTAATAGTGAAGACAAGAAGACATGGTCAGCATGCACA